ATTTGCCCGAGACAGTAATGTAACATCCCATCCCAAGATGGTTCCTCTACACTTACAACTTGTTGTTAGGTCAAGCACAAGCAATTCTTAAGAAATATAACAGTTCCCTGCTGAAAAAACAGCCAGGTTTGCCGGTTTTAGCTGGTTAAAGCTGGTCTCCCATTTTAATGTGTCCAAAACACATAACAGAACAACAACAACAAAAAACAGAGCCAAAAGTCAAACAAAACAAGACAAACCAAAACAACAAAACAAAATTCTAAACGAAACAAAAAACCCAAAACAAAATTAAAAACAAACCAAAACAAAAAAACCTAAACAAAAACTCAAAATTAAATAAAAAATAAAAACACCAGCTAAAACTCGCAAACCAGGTTTGCTCATTCATTGAACTGAATCACATTTCCTAAAACTGTCCTGTGCCAACTATAGCTTCCTCATGGATCCTGATGTTGCACTGCGACCAGTCTGTTATGGCAGGTTGAGAAAATGACATATAGGATGAAAAAAGGCATCCCCCCTCAGGGACAGTAATATGTTCCCCCTCAATAAAAGCAGCATCGGCAGGCCAGCGAGTCATAAAAGGCTCCTGTTTGACTCTTTTATATCTGCGTGTTTAAAAAGGACCATAAACCTGTGATTCGCCTGCAGCACTTTGGTTTATTAACTCCAGTGTGTCGCCATCACCTGTCAGATCTTTTCATTTGCCTGCAAATGCGAACACAAGCAGAAAGACCAATAAGAAGCTGCAAGATTGCAGATGTGTACCTGTTACATAAATCTTCACATAAATGTGTCTAATTTCTAATTAGAAATGTGGATGGGTCAGGATGGTTGATTACTGAGGTTGACTAGTTTCTCTAGATTTTATCTTTTTTTTTCTTCTGTCATACATTTAGGAATCCCCTGCTATGAAAATAAAAAAAAACGAATAAAATAAAATCATGACACTAAATCAACCGACAGTACGCATACTGTATATTCAGGCTTTCTTAACCGTGCACAAATTTACATGCAAAACACAAAAGACCACCAGTGCTTGTAAGAGCATTTAGCAGCATGATCCCTAACTCGCCAAATGTTATAAAATACTGTTCCACAATTGCACACTAAAGGTGTCACTCTAAGCTCTCGGCATTTGAGTGCTGATGTTTACAACCACACGAGAGCACATTGTGCCAAACATAAAAGGGTCTGGGAGACTTATAAACAGAAGACCTATGGCTTACAATCGCTATTCGCAATGTGCGGCGCTCCGGCGTCAGTCTAATGGCTTCTCTGGAGTAGTGCACACATTGCACCTGTGGGGGAAACCCTTTTCTGAGCTTGCTTTGATGATTGCACAAACTATGTGGTGGAATATGTTCACCCTTTCTGAGGTGAAGCATATTGACTGGATGTACCTTTCCATTCTTTGACTTTTCTATTTTCTTTCCAACTCTCTCTTTCAATTTTTCCGTCGAATCTTTCTTTGGTGAAGGCCGATCAAGGTGGAGATTGGGATTCTTCTGGTCACAGGGCATGCTGGGAGTCAGAGCATTTGGCGCTGCAATCAGTAAGACTGTGCACTAAAAGAGAACAGACTCAACCACGCAGTAAAACAGGCATTTACTGGGCTTCATTATAATGTCATCTTATCTCCCCCACTGTCTTACTCCATCCTGCTTCCCAGCGAAAGTCTTGATTTCTTCAGGCTGATGATATTTGATTGGCTGGAGGAGTGGTGGGGGGGATTGGATACGGCACGGCTTGATGATTCAGTACGTATTGCACGTCTGGGAACCCTGTATCCGGCGGAAAAGTCTCTAGCGCTGAAGAGATGTGGAGGCCTATAAAAACCCATCTCCAGTTTTATCAGGCTAGAGAGATAAATGAAAAAGGATAGGGATGACTCAGAAGAGGATAAAGTCACGCTCTTGAGGGTCATTGATCAAAGACCCTCTCTTGCATTGCAATTCTCTGCAGCGTATGCGCCCCATTTGTTCATCCTATGGAAACTAACGGCTAAACTTAATTAACCAGACATTGACATTTTGATTCTTTCCCATCAAAAAGTCACTTCCAAGTAAATAGCATGTTGCTATCTGGTGTACTACTGTAAGTGGTTTCTAGGTTTTTTTGTTAGTAGTCACCCAAGGTTAGGGTTGGGGTTAGTTACAGTACCAATGAGCAATCCAGAAATGAATTCAAAATGATTTCACAATGTAACAAAAAAAGTTTCACTTTTTTTTATGGTTCTTCTGTAATTCTGTGGTGCTAATTATTATTATACTATTTATTTTCATGTAGCTTCAATATTTTGGCAAATAATTCGGTCAGGTTAATTTTAGAACTTCTATCATTAATTATGAAACACTGGTTTAGTACAGATGGGTTTTGTACTAATTTTGAATGTTTTTTTCTAGTGATTCTAGTGATTCTCACTGAATTTCTGGAACATTCCAGAACATTGTGGGACTAGTCATAAAAGACAAAAATCATCCAACATAGACTTCTTAAGTTTTGGACGACTCACTTTTGGTAACTGTTTCTGTTAAACTGTTGTTGTTAGCTCAGTATTCTGCATGTACCATGTAATTTTTATGCATGAGTAATAACAGATTAGCTTGCATAAGTTGTCAACATATTTTTTAAGTTTTCATAAGCATTGTTAATGATGCACAAAATGTAATGTGATTGTCATATTCAGCATGTAAAACTTCATAAAGAAACATTTAAAATAATAGCAAAACAAGACTTTTATAAAAAAAAAAAAAGTCACAGTGTTTTAATTCAAAATCCATTATTGAACTTGAATTAAATTTCAAAAGAGATTGCAAAAAGGAAAAAGAGTTGAATTTGTAGTAGGAACAAACTGAATCTAAATTCTCAATTTCATATAACCCTAATATGTATTGTTAAAAAAGAATGTAACAATTTTTAAGAAATTTTAGAATGAAATTTGAAGGTTTTATAGGACTTACAGACAAACAGATTTGCTGAACACCACTTCATTTCCCAGAATACATTACCTGCATTGTATTTCTTTGAATTGCAATTTGGTAATTTCCACTTCCTGCCATTCCAATTTTAGTTCAACTTCCTGCGTGTTAAGGCCAATTCAACTCAAGCACAATTTGAGGTATGAATCATGTCAATAGCATGCATTACACACCAAAGTTTAATAATAAGGTCTACGGGTTTGTTCGAAGTTACAATGATGCTTGCCTAAGAAAGCACCACTAATTAGAAGAATGATTGGATCAAATCATGTGGAAGCAGCACAACGCCACCAGCAGGAAAATCAAAAAATAGAAGCGAGAGTCCTTCCTTTCTGACCATCTAACCTAGTCCAATGTCAACAGTTGCTATTCCGAATGTGTTTGTGCAGCTCTGGTGCTCAACCACAACCGACCACCCCACATCCCACCTCTGGGCTCCAATGGAAACCTTCTTAATTGATTGAAAAAGCAATTTTTAGCACCGGGTCAGAGAGAGAGAGAGAGAGAGGATCGCTCTGGTGTCCTGGACTAACCTCTCTCTCAGCTCACACTGACCAACAGATTGGAGCGGGACCACCGTAACCATACAACAATTGGTTTCCCTTCCAAACACGCCTGACGCGTCCAATAGCGTGTGGAGATCAACTCAGGGTTCGCCTGATCTGGAGTCTCAGGGCCTCAAGGCCGGATCGTGACATGCCTGTGGGGGAAGGTGGTGGTTGATGGTCTTGGCTGAAGGAAGCAGCTGTTGCCGCTTCCAGACGAGGCCCTCGATGCAGCCGCATCAGGGTGCTTCGAGTGCAAGCCACATGTGGGCTCGTGGCAATGTGACCCCACGGAGGAAGCTGGGGCCCTGAAGTCATAAATGAGCTCTCTTTGACCACAACACGTACTTGTGCGCACGCACACACTGACGCACCAGTTGCCGGGTACCACAGGTCGAAGTCCAATAGCACATCAATCCTGCTGTCAGAAAAAGAGCATATGAGCTCGAACGAAAACAAAGAACACATGACACAGAACAAGGAAAATGTGAAAACGAAGAATGATCGAAAGAACAAACCGACGGCCAGGAATAACACCGAAAACCACAACAAAGGGAGGGCTGCTGTGGCATTGTTGTCTAGAGGTCTACGGCAAAGAAGAAAAACAGCCCCTCCATAAAAAGTGGGACTTTCTGCGCTGAGATTCTCACAGACATTAACTGCTGATTCTGGCTTTCTATTCGAACCCTCACTCCAGAAGGGCGGGAACGACCACCACAGACCACCACCGTCTTGTCAAATCGGGGCAAAAATAGTCAATATGATGAAAGTTGCATCAGCCTAGATGAGGTAGTTTGTATTTGCAAATCGGCTCAAACTAAATACGCTGATACCTGGATACGGACACTGCTGCTTCAATATCACGGAGCCATAGATTCAAAAATAGTTCCTGCGGTTGCACTGAACAACTGTGTCTTATTTCATTGTTCAATTATTCTCTCCTTTTATCTTTTCCCAAAATCCAAAGCTCACAATGAGAGGAGGACACGAGGTCAGGATGTGCGTGAATGCGGTCTGGATGAGGGAAACATGAGCTCGCTCTTTTACCTGAGAAACATCCCAGCAATTCTCAAATGAGGAACCAGAGCTGACATCCAAACTTATATAATCAGAAGACGGATCGCTCTGAGGAGACACATTTCTAGGCAGCGCAAAAGGAAAACCTTTAAATGCTGCACAAAATATTGAGCTATTGTGAATAACTCATGGTTTTTGGGGGACTATGACCCTCTTAAAAGATTGATGGGCCTCATTATGGGTTACAATGTTTCAATGTTAAGACCATAACAGCCACTGCTCTCGTCAGATTTCAGCGGTTATGTGTGTAAAACGCTTGCCTGAAATCCATTACAAGGCGTAGGGATTCATCCTGCATTTCAATTAGGCAACATCACATGAGTAAGGTCTGATCTGGAACAGACTCATGAACCGTACGTAACTGTGAATAACGTACATAAATGTCATGTGGATTTACCTTGATATGTTGAGAACTCTCGTTGATGTTATCCTCTCGCTTACGAGCCTCTTCCATCAACTGAGCGTTCTTGTTCTTCTCCACCTGCTCTTTGTGCTTCAGGTTGGCAAACTTCTTGCTTTGGTCTTTCATTTGCCTGCAAGGACACACCAACAGACTTCAGTCAGACATGCACAGATGGACATTGAGGTGGACGGATACTGGAAACATGCGGAGAGAGGAACGTGAGTGTTCAAGTCTTTGATAACTAATGGTATAGCAACTTTTTAGCAACTAGCATTGCCAAAAGGTTTGCAGAAAGTATACTGTGCACATTATGAAATAATGCATAATGTTTCACATACCATATTTAAAAATAGAATATGCATTATTCTATTTAAAATAACAAAAAAATAAAAAATAAAAAAGATCAAATAAAAATGTTATAATGTTGCATTGTGTTTAATGAAATCAGATTAAATGCCTATTGTATATTTGAATCTGAAAACCAAGCTTTGTATATATAGGAATGGGTCAAAATAAAACTAAATTAAATAATAAAATAAAATATAAAATTAAGTTAAATAAAAAGAAAACAAAATAGAATAACAAATAATGTGGCATTATGTATGATTGATGAAATCAAATCACAGGCTGACTGTATATATTTAAATTGGAATTGATTTACATTTGAAAAAGCAACTATATTTCAATATATTTTAATTAGGAATGGGTGAAACCAAAAAAGATAATATGAAATACCAACTAATATTGCCAGGCCACAAGTAGACTCAAAAATCTCTTCCTCAAAGAGTGTTTTAGAGTTTTTTTCTTCTTTTGCACACATATAAGCAGTCTAGTACAAACAGAAGGGTCAATGAGAAGAGCCAAAAATGGTCTAGCTTATTATAAATGACAACAAAAGGAAGCAGGACTGATCTCCACAGATCAAGCTGTGCTGCAAATGAAAGGCAGTATGTTTGTGTTTGAGCTCTGGGATTTTTCTCATTATCCTATTCCCTCCTCCATGTGCTGTGGCATGGAAACCCGCAGAAACATGAAGCACTACCAAAAAGGAAGGAATAAATAAATTAAAAGAGCATTCAAGCCGTTTTCATTTCTGAGAAGTGTCGTACCAACAGGCCTAGATGCTGCGGTCACTCGGCCCCAACGAGCGTCAGAGCGCGAGAGTTTTCCTGTTTACGTGGCCGCTGTCGGTGTATTGCCCACTGGCAGCGTGGCGGCCGGGATCAGTTACCGTTCACCATCTTGACTTGATTTTAAAAAAAGGGAAAAACTGCACCTCTGCCCTGGAGAACAGATGTACCACTGACAATGCCAACACCAATGTCTTAAAATGAGTAATAACACAGCGTTGTGGAAAGACCTCCCTCGGCGCCCCGCTTGATACCACAGAGCATTGCCCAAGACACACAATATGGGAAGGTAATTGAAGAGTTATTATTGGGGCTTATGGGATATGACAAGCCACATCTCCGTGTGCCAGGAAAGTGGCACCAAGGTGCTCCACCAAGGTGCTTCGGTTGGTGCTTTGGAGTAAAAAGCAGCGAGGGAGCTTTCAGAGTGTGTTCGCTGAAGCAAGGTGACGCCGAACAAGGCTTGGAGAAAATAGGCCAAGCTGCTGCGCCACTAGAACCTGATCGTAATTCTGGATGAGCTGTCCTGAACACAGTGGAGTCTCTGTGTGGAAGTACCAGAGGAAAGCCGCAGTCTTCTGGCTCCTGTTGCAGATACTAGAACAAAACTTTGCTAGTAACTGCCATACAAAGGTTTGGAGATCGGGTTAGCCTGGTGACATACTGCTAGTGAAGGAGCAACTGGTTTTATGAGCGTCTCTCCATCTTTTCAGAAGGTTCCCAAGGTTTTCTTTTCTTCTCTTTACTGTACGTGAACGCGTGTCTCTTGGATGTGAGGATCACGAGAAGTGTTGACAGAGTGTAGGCGACGAAGAGGTGAAGTCTACTAATATTTCATCCACTGTTGTATGCAATATTTGTTAGAATCATACATTTCTGCAAATGCAACCAGAAATCGGGTCTTGAGGCTAACAAAAACACAATAGGTCCTTGATTCAGTTGCACCATTAGGGTGTAAATAACTAAAAGCAGCATGCTACTAACTTGACCACAGCACATCAGCTGTTTCAAAACAGTGCGGATATACCAGCAGCGGTGTAGCATGACAAACGGCTCCATCGCTGTTATTTTCATCACATTTTCATCACTGCGCCCGCAGCTTTACAGCAGAGTGAACTTTGTCCTCTCTCTCAAATATTACATTGGGAAATCGGATTCGATTTGGTGAATCAGTTCATTCACATGGTTCATGTAAATAAACGATTCACTGATTAAATAAACGATTCACTGATTTATTTAAACAATTCACTGATTTAAACAAACAATTCACTGATTCATTTAAATGATTCACCAATTAATTTAAAACCGAAATATTTATTTAAACAATGTTTTCGGCTCTGTTATATAAACACATTTTCTAGTTTTATTAGTTAGTTTTGTCCCAGATAAATGGTCTAATTGCAGAATTAAGACAATTATACTTCTAGAAAGATTTTTTTTTTCTCTCAAAAAGCAATTTTTAGTTAACCTGCACTACTATTGCTCTAAGTGTAGCTTGGCTGTAGTTTAACTATTTTATGAGCATCTTAACAAGTTGCAGTTCCAAAGCAGTTTCCTCAACACTGCTAATTTGATAGCTATTAAAAAAATCTAATAAAAGCACCGCAAATACATTTCATGTCCATTCTGGAAACATCAGACAAATTGTGCTGTGTTGTCAAAAAAACATCTTTAAGATAACACGACCATATAACAAAGCAAAAAGAAAGACTTTCTGTGTGTGTGCTCAGGGGAGTTTGTGTAACAGGTCATAAATATACTGGAATGTTCCTATTTGGTGTTTCCAGAAGAGGCCAAGCCATCTGCATGGCTCTGCTACACTTGCAATAAGCAGCTGACTGTTTTTATGCATTGAGCGCCAGCCCTTTATTCAGGGTTTTGATTATATGTTTATATGTCTCCATTTGAGCTCTGATGTGATGGGATAGGTAACCCCATTTCCCAGAGTTCATGGAGGAAACACTTCTACAACAATAAAGAGGAACGGCAACATCTAATTCAGATGTAATTCGCCAGTAGTTCTGGTATTTCTGCTATGCTGTAAAAAAACCGTAGGATAACGCAGGTACAGTGTATAACAAAAGAGATTCATAAACCTTGTTGACAGAGAGGCTTTTCTAGGCAGATATTACTAGCATGCATGCCAATATTTCCAGTGAGCTCCACTATGGCTATGATGGCACTCTATGATGCATAGATGTGATGATGGCACTCTAATCTAGCCCATCCTGTCAGATTAAGTCAAATATTGATTTCAAAGATTCTTTAAATGGGCCCAAAATATATTCTGCTTTACATTTATCAGTGTAACAGTGAAACAATGAACCACACAACACAAACACCCAACTGCATTTACATGAAAAGGAATATTCAGAAGATGAAATGATCATGTAAATGCTTTAACCTAATCACCTAGATTGCAATTATTCTTATTTATAAAATCTAACAATATTAATGTCTGCATTAATTTGAATTTCGGGTCATCACTTGGGATATCTAAAAATTCTAAAACCTGTGAAAATTTTAATGATTTTTTTATTTAACTTTTACACGCATTTTACATAAAAAAAACACATAAAATGTGTATAAAATAATTTTTAATTTAACTTTTATATTAAAAGTTTGATGCCAGTTATTTATTGGAGAGAAATTAATACTGTTATTCAGAAAGGATGCATTTATCAAAAGTGACAGTAAAGATATTTATAATGACACAAAAGATTTCTGTCAAATAAATGCTGTTCTTTTGAACTATTCATCAAAGAATTCTGAGAAACAGAAAAATATTAAGTAACAACATTTGTTTTTAACATTGATAATAATAAAGAATATGTTTCTTGAGCAGCATGTGACACTTAAGTCTGAAGTAATTATGCTGAAAATTCAGCTTTGCCATTACAGAAATAAATTACATTTTAAAATATATTCAGATAACAGTTATTTTAAACGGTAATATTATTTCCCAATATTACTGTTTTTACTGATCAAATGAATGCAGCCTTGGTGAGCTTAAGAGATTTCTTTTAAAAACATTTAAAACCTTTTGAAAAGTATGGTAAAAAAAAAAAAGAAAATAATAAATACAGGACACATTTGAAGAGAACATCTCACTCTCAAGCTAACACACTGGGTTCACACAAACCTAAATGGAAACATCTCTGTTTAGTGAACACAGCTACACATGTGTTCAAGGGCAGAGACCCCATTTAAAGGCCTTCTTTATTTCATTTTTTCCAGTGCCAACATTTTCCTTTCCTCTAAATAAAACTCTGGATCCCATACGTAACCCTGTCATCTTCCTCCTCTCTGTACTGAGCTTTATGTTGTATTAGCAGCCATATTATCAATACTAGGAAAACTGTACTATATTTGTGTGCCAATGTGCCTTCAACCAATGACAGAAGCAACATGAACATGAGTGGAAAAAATTAAAAACAGGTAAATAGGTCTATGACAGGGTGGGAGAGAAAGAAAATAATCTTTCAGCACAACTTTGAGGTTGTCTAGAGGAAAAACACACTAATTATACATCAAAACGTAACATATAAATCCAAACAAAACACACGCTTGGACACACAGGTGAAAAGAGTGCACTTTAGAGAAAGACCTACACTCCAGTCTAACCTAATGCTTTTTAATGAATCTTATTTTCATGGAGCTCAAACCCTGGAATATGATCAAAAATAGTAATTCATTATTTTGGTCCAGATCTTAAAATCAATAATTCATTTACAAGACAGCTCCAGGCAATGCTTACAGGGTAAGGCTCGAAACGAAAGCACTTTGAAATTCTCAAGATATCAGCTGAAGTGTGTGAGCAAACATCAGAAAGTTTGCTAACTTTCGGCTATAAAGATGTTCTAAACTTCTGCATAATGAAGTCTTTGAAACATGCATCTAGTAAACACCTCTCAAAACACAAAAAATAAAAAAGTCCTTCTCACACGGCCAAATTACGCCCTAGGGAAGGACAAGTCCTTGCTGACATCCAAAGCCATGA